AGAGCAGCCCTGAGCTGAGGAGAAGGGCTGCTTATATAGTTGTTTTAGCCCTAGTTAAGAAATTGGGCTAAGGGTTTGTGAGCAAGCAAGCACATACAGAAGCAGATTATCTTCTGTTAGCCGTTACGCCTGAATTAACTATACAATGGGTTAACTCTGGCTGATGTATATCTCCTTCCTTTCTTAATGGAAAAATATTTACTGTATGTTCACATAGCATGTGTTTGTCCTTCACACTATTTCTGTTCTTTGGGAAGCCAGCACCACACTTGAAAATTATTTTTATAATAATACACATTCCCAAAAGAAAATTTCTGCTTATACTCAAGAAATCAATGGCATTCTTATACACCAACAATGAATTCATAGAAAGAGAAACTAAAAAAACAATCCCATTTACTATTGCAACAAAAAAATTAAGATACCTGGGAATAAACTCAAAGAAGGAAAGGACCTATTCCCAGAAAACTACAGGACATTGAAAAAAGAAATGGAGGAAGATATTAAAAAGTACAAGTGACCTGGGCCCCGAGGCTGAGTCAACTAGATTCCATTCTTATGTAGGCCCCTTGGCTAAGGCGACTAAATGACTCCATTTTCATCATCAATGGACCTTCAATTACCCCTAGAAGTAAAGGAATTTTGCCTAAGGTTATAGTTGCCCTACATGTTGGGAGGTATCTTGCAGTATTGGAAAATGAAAATCATGAGCCCAGTGATTAATGCTAATTTTGACTTCTGTAATCACTGTCACACCCACTATTTACCGGTCCCCTGAGGGGGAACCAAAGAGAGTGGGGCTTCTGTCTTTAAAAGTGGAGAAGCAAGAAGAATCATGGCTGTTTATCTGAGGGGAGGCCATGCCCTCCACAGCCCACCAGTGAAAATAAAGTGCTCCTTTACAATTCAGCTGTGCATCTCATCTCGCGGACACATTACCTTGTTCATGGATTAGAAGAATTAATATCATTAAAATGTCAATACTACCCAAAGCAATCTATAGATTCAATGCAATTCCCATTAAAATACCAATGACATACTGCACAGAACTGGAACAAATACTCCAAAAGTTTATATGGAACCAAAAAAGATCCCAAATAGCCACAGCAATCTTGAAAAAAAAAAAAAGAACAAAGTAGAAGGGATCACAATAGTGGATATTAGGTTATATTACAAAGCCATTGTAATCAAAACAGCCTACTAATGGTACAAGAACAGGCAGACAGATCAATGGAACAGAACAGAGAACCCAGAAATTGACCCAAGTCATTATGCTCAATTAATATTTGACAAAGGTGGCAAGAGCATACAGTGGAGCAAAGACAGCCTCTTCAATACATGGTGCTGGGTAAATTGGACAGCTACATGCAAAAAAGTGAAGCTAGACCACCAACTTACACCATACACAAGAATAATCTCAAAATGGACAAAAGACTTAAATGTGACTCGTGAATCCATAAAAGTCCTAGAAGAAAAGGTAGGCACCAAAATGTCAGACATCACATGCAGCAGAATTTTCACTGATACAACACCTAAGACAAGAGAAATGAAGGAAAAAATTAATACATGGGACTACATCAAACTAAAAAGCTTCTGCACATTAAAAGAAACAAGCATCAAAATGGAAAGGGAAGTCACTATATGGGAAAGTATAATTGCCAACAATATGTACCCCTATGTCATAGCAGCACTATTTTCAATTGCTAAGATCTGGAAACAGCCGAAGTGTCCATCAATAGATGAGTGGATATGAGTGGTACATATACACAATGGAATACTATGCAGCTGTAAGAAATAAAGATCTCTTATCCTTTGAGACAACATGAAGGAAACTGGAGAGTATTATCCTAAGCAAAACAAGCCAATCAGAGAAAGACAGATATCACAGGATCTCACTTACTAGTGGAATATAATGAACAAAACAAGCTGATGAAAAAAATAGACCCAGAGACATAGAAGTAGGGTGCAGACTGAAACCTCAGAAGAGAGGGCTGGTGGGAAGGGAAGAGATAAACCACAGAAGTTACATGCATGTATGGGTAACCATGGACATAGACAACAATGCTGGAGGTGGGGTGGGATTGAGAGGAGGGTGTCAATGAAAGAAAAAGGAGAAATATCTGTAACAAAAATTTTAAAAAATAAAATAAAAAAAAAATTTCTGCTTATTATTTAAGGTTATATATTTCCTGACAAAATTAAGAAATATTTGTCAAGTAAAACAAAACCAAACTCTTCATTAAAAGTTTTTATTGTGATTTGATTGAAATTATAGAATTTTCTGTAAAGGTAAATACAAATATAAAACAATAGAATTTTCCCTGATGCAAAAAGGGGAAAAGACCTTTGCTCCACTCTTTTCTTAGAGCATGTCCTTGAGAACATTGTAAATTGTTTCTTTGTCCTTTTGATATGTGTGTAAACCTTTTGAAAAAGAAGCCCTGGCCAGTTGGTTCAGCGGTTAGAGCATTGGCATGTGGACCAGAAAGTCTCGGGTCCAGTTCCCACTAAGGGCATGTACCTCAGTTGCAGTTTTTCCCCGGCCCCAGTTGGGATCTTGTGGGTGGCAATCACTCGATGTGTCTCTCTCACATCAACGTTTCTCTCTCTCTCTCTCTTCCTCATAAAAAATAAATAAAAACAAACAAACAACAACAAAAAAGGCAAATAAGCCCCCTGTTATTTTTACCACCCAGGAAACCTCCTTCTTAAAGACCTTGAAATTATGTCTTTGAAATGTAACTAGCAGATAACCACTCTATTTACCAGATGAATTTAGGATGTAACTGTGTAGCAAATGGGTTCAGTCCTCTTGAATGGGATATATATATAGCTGGCTAAATAAAAGTGTAATATTTCTGCCTTTGCAAACTCATTAGCAGATGACCTGAGATGCTTATCACAGTCTCATTTAATGCCTATTCAATAATAAAATTGTTTCTTCTTTCTCCATCTGTGGAGAGGATTTTCTGGGTTGACAAGAGACACTTTAAACTATTTCCCAAACACCTCTCATCCAGAAAATTGGGGTGTTGTGTGTATGTGTTCACACGCGCATCTACAGGGTGGGGCGAATGTAGGTTTACAGTTGTGAGTATGCAAAACAGTTTATTCTTGTATTATTATTTATTAATTATTGTATTATTTTCCATATGAAGAACTGTAAACCTACTTTTGCCCCACCCTGTATATATATATACACACACACTTACTCAAATATATGTGCATATTTTTCTCTATACAAATTCTATGTTTTAGCCCTGGCCGGTTTGGCTCAGCGGTTAGAGCGTCCACCTGCGGTCCTGAGAGACCCGGGTTCGGTTCCCGCTAAGGGCGCGTACCTCGGTTGCAGTTTGTCCCTGGCCCTGGTCGGTTGTGCGGGTGGCAGCCACTCGATGTGTTCCTTTTCCATCGATGTTTCTCTCTCTCTCCCTCTGTTCCTCTCCCTCCCTCCCACTCTACCTGAACAAAAAATGAAAAAATGTCCTCGGGTGAGGATTAAAAAAAAAAAAAAGAACAAATTCTATGTTTTAAAATTTAATTAAGAAAAACAACATTTTTGTAATTATTTTGAATGGAAACTCATGTTTACTAGCTTGCACAAGAGCAAATTAATGTCATAAAGTTACTAACCAGGAAATCAGCATATATGCCTTAGTGAGATGACAGTTGAAATTGTGCTGGCCTGCTCATATCACCTCGCCCTGATTAAATCACACAAAAGGCCAACTGTGGAGCTTTCAGAGGCAAACTGAGGAAGTACTAGCTGGCCTGATACTCCTCTAAACAATGTGTTATTTTTTAGAACTTAGAAAATAAAGTGAACAGCAGGACAACCCTGTGCTAACGCAGCTCCCTCCCCCCTCTGCTCCCTCCCACTTATTGCCTACTGCCTCAGCTTCTGTACTTGCTGGCTCTCCCCCAAGTCCATCAAGAAATGCCAGTTGCAGAAATTTGTGACAAACCCCCTATAAAATAAAAATGTAGCTGAAAGTTGGAGCTGATCTCCGAGATCAGCCTGCTTTGCTCTTTATTTGGCTTTAATTTGTCTCTGGTGGTCTCTTGGTTCTCTTGTGCCACAACAGAAATATTTTATACCATCAGGATAAAACTAGTAAAAATCTCAAGAGTGTGCACCTAACATTGAGTGTGGTTTTTCCCTCTTGGTAAGTGGTTATGTCACATTCGTGTGGTTTTAGCTTATACAGAACTTTTCTTTATTACGTTTCCTATATCACTTGAATACGGTTGAAAGCTAGCACTCCTAAGACCAGGTCAGCTGCTCCAGGGTGTTATTCTTTGAATGGACTCACTACTTGGTTTCAAGTTCTTCCTGGAAGTATCCATATTCACTGCACCGCTAGCTGCCAATGTTGCTACGTTCCAGAAAGAACGTGAGACCTAGCGCCTTCGTCCCCTGTTCTAATCGGCGGTCAGGAGTCAGGAGGACCTGACAGCCGCCTAGAAACCCCAGCCCGGCGCAGGCCGCTGGAAGCCGAGCTAGTGACGTCACAGAAAGGCGAGTCGCGGGGGCTTGAAGCGCAGTTCCCGAGTGGGGCGCGAGCGTGGGGCGACTTCTGCGCGTTCCCGTTCCACCCCCTGCGGGAGTCGCCATTTCCGCGGCGCCCGCGGAGAGGCCTCGGAGCGGCCAGGTGTGCGGCGCGGCCGGCCTGCGATCTGCGCGGGCGCCCGAGCGAGGCTGCAGGTGTGCCCGGGCCTGTCTGGACGTCAAGGCGGGAGGGAGCCGCGCATCCTCCGCTGCGCGCCGGCCGGGAGCCCGGAGGCCGCCGCCCCCTCGAGCTGCGGACAGGCCGCTGAGGGGCCCTGACGGGAGTGGGGAGGCCGGCGGGAGGCCGGGTGTCCGCTTACCGGCCCCGAAGCGCGCACCTCCACCCGCGTGAGAGCCGCGGGAAGCGGCCTGGGGCGCGGGGAGAGCGGGCCAGCGCGGAGGAGCGGCGTCCTGACCGGAGCCCCAGCCCGTCGCGTCCCGGAGCCGGCGGCCAGGCTCGAGGGGCCGCGCCCCAGGCCAGCGCCTGCGGATGAACGAGCAGGTTCATCGGTAGGATTTAGATGCCCCTCTGCAAATTAATATTGGCCTTTCGGGTTGTTTTGTGTATTAAATAGGGTAGAATACTTCAAGTGTGATGACTCAATAAAGGCCCGCTGCTTTTGTTTTTATAAGGTATGCTGTTCTTTTCCTTATTGGCTCATGTAATCATTTGAATCATCATCATCCTTTCCATCAGTATCAACCACCTCCATTTCAGTAAATTCGAGTACTAAATATTCAGAGACAGTAATGGTTTTACCCAGCATTAGAAAGATGGGCTTTAAGTTCTCACTTATTTTACTCTAGTTCATGCTGCTTCCCGCACTAAAATGTGCGTTTAGTACAGTAATTGTCCCAGAACATAATTGTGGAGTATAGTGGATAAGGACAACCTAATCTTCCCATGTAGTGTTCCAGTTCCAAAAATTTTTGAGGCTCCATCAGAATTCATGTCAAAATGTTATATCTGCCTTCTCCAGCCTGTCCCTGTTCTCACGAAACGGTTCAACATGCAAAAAATTGAAACCATACCTTAAGCCCCGACTTTGAAGTTTTATGGAAGAATCTGGGAATCCTATCCAGGCAAGAAGGGAAGTGAGACAGACATTTTTTAAAAATGAAGGCTGCAATTTCATCCATGCTCCATATTATAAAAGTGATGTCATAATGCTTCTGATTGGCTAGTGTATCTGGGCTTTTTAAGAATTTTGTAAGCACCAAGCCAACTGGAAGTGGTTTCTGCTGCATATGGAAAGGATCTCAGCATTATAGCATCCAGTTACCTTTGCCACCTACACAAAGTGCCTGTTTTGGGAATGTAATACCAAATTGTTATTTTATTTATTTATTTTTAATCCTCACCCGAGGATATTTTTCCATTTTTTGTACAGATAGAGTGGGAGGGAGAGAGAGGAAGGGAGAGAGAGAGAAACATCGACGTGAAGGGACACATCGAGTGGCTGCCACCCGCACAACCAACCAGGGCCGGGGACAAACTGCAACCGAAGTACGTGCCCTTAGCGGGAACCGAACCCGGGTCTCTCAGGACCGCAGGCCGACGCTCTAACCGCTGAGCCAAACTGGCCAGGGCCCAAATTGTTATTTTAGAAGTTAGATTTGTGTCACTGTCAGCAGATTAGATGGCCATGTCAGAATTCATTAAGGCCTAATTAAATTTTACCCTAGGCCCAGCCCAAGTTTGGAGGGGACAGTGAATTCCATGGTACTGTCTGGATTTGTGGCCTGGGTCAAGACTTATGGAATCAGAATGGCACATGAAGAGTTGTTCAAAACTATCTAATTCTTCCTCATGTTAAATAAAGACAATGGCATTGAAGATAAGATAGTCACTAGTTTGTTAATAGCAAAGCCTAGCATGGAACAACAGACCACAGATCCATTCACTATGTTTAAGTCAACACAAGGTTCTTGAAGAAGTGGATTTTGAGAAACTAATTTAGGAAGTAAACAACTCTTTTTTTTAAAAAAAAATATATGTTTTTATTGATTTTTTAGAGAGAGAGAGAGAGAGAGAGAGAGAAACATAAATGTGAGATACATGCATCAGCTGCCTCCTGCACATCCCCTGTGGGATTGAGCCCACAACCTGGGCATGTGCCCTGACTGATAATCAAACTGGAACCTCTCAGTCCAGGGAACGACACTCAATCCACTGAGCCACACCAGCCAGGCAAAAAAACTCTTAATTTTGAAAGCTTTGGAGACGTTCTAAACTTCTGGGGTTTATAATAGTATAGGAAAAACAGTTATGACCTGTAATTTAAATACTTTTCCATATCAATAAATATTTCTCTTCACCATCATTTGTAATACCAACATATCCATACTTTAGGTATATATTATACACCTTGCTTAGCTAATCTGTTATTGAATGTTTAAGTTTTTAATCGTTTTGTGTTATTTAGTAAGCAGATACATAATTTTCAAAACAAGCCAATAGGAAAGAAATGTTTAAATTCACTCAAAAGTGTCCCAGGGTCATCAAGATTTTATTAGTCACCAGTGGACAGGTAGGTACCCCTTTATCATGTTCCTTCCTATTCCTTCTCATGGCTCAAAGGAATGTTTTTACAGAGGTTTACCTTGTACTAAACTGTTGTCTGGAAATTTCTCACAGGTGATCCCTGGAGCTGCAAGATAAAGTCTCATGACTTCTGTCTTTCAAATTTCCCTGTTCGGGCTTCATAGATTCTATCCTTTACCAAGAACAACAGAAAATGAACAAATTCCGGGTGAGCCATTTACTTAGCCCTTACTTTGTTTCACTGTGTATATTTTCAATGAGTTTTATGGAAGAGAGCTCTTTTATTAAAGTTAACAGGTAAATAGTTAAAAATCACCTTCAGGGAAAATACTGTTTGACTAGCACAGCGGTTCACAAAGTGTGGTCTGCAGACCCCTGGGAGCCCCAAGACCTTTTCAAGGGATCTGTGAGGTCAGAATGTAATATTAAAATGCACATTGCAGTTTACACTGTTGACATTTGCACTGACTGTAAAATAATGATAAAGAGATTGCTACCTGTTTGGCATGAATTAAGACAATGAAATTGGCCCAGCCAGTGTGGCTCAGTGAATTGAGCAATGTCCCATGTACTGAGAGGACCCAGTTCAATTCCCTGTCAGGGCACATGCCCAGATTGTGGGCTCGATCCCCAATAGGGGGCCTACAGGAGGAAGCCAATCAATGTTTCTCTCTCACATCCATGTTTCTATTTCTCTCTCTATAAAAAAAAAAATCAATAAAAACATATTAAAAATAAAAGAAAATATATTTATTTAATTTTTTTCTTTAAAACATATTTTAACAAAAGACAATGACATTGCATTCCTGTGCAATGTGCTCACCTTTACTTAAGGATTGCCTTGATGAAACAGTAAAAATTAATTTTATTAAATCTTGACCCTTGAGTACGCATCTTTTTTTGTTTTTATTAATTTTTTTAGAGAGAGAGGAAGGGAGAGAGAAATAGAAACATCAACGTGAGAGAGAAACATTGATCGGCTTCCTCCTACATGATCCCCTCCTGAGGATCGAGCCCGCAACCCTGGCATGTGCCCTAGGAATCGAATTGTGTCCATGGGATGGCGCCCAATCCACTGAGCCACACCAGCTGGGTGAGTACACATCTTTTTAATACTAAGTGTGATGAAATTGGAAGTTCACATAAAGTACTTTTGATGCAACCAATTATGATAGTTGGCTATCTTGAGGAAAGAAAAGCACTTGTGCGATTGATTTGTGAGCTTATCTAGCCACTATTTTTACTTGAAAGAGCAACTGCCAGACACAGTGGTTATTCAGACTTGGGTATTTAACAAACATTTTCTCAAAAGTGAATGAATGAGCCTGGCAGTGAAAATAACTGTTAGTATTTGTTGCCAATATTAATTGGGAGAGGTGTCTCCTCAGATTCTGTGCCCATTTTTTTTATTGGATTTTTTTCTTTGGTGTTGAGTTTTATGAGTTTGTTATATAGTTTGGATATTAACCCTTTGTTGGCAGTATCATTTGCAAATACTATCTGCTATTCGGTTGGTTGCCTTTTGCTATGTTTTCGGTTTCTTTTGCTGTGCAGAAGCTTTTTAGTTTGATACAGTCCCATTCATTTATAGCCTGGCCAGTGTTGCTCAGTGGTTGAGGATCGACCCATGCACCAAGAGGTCGCTGGTTTGATTTCTGGTCAGAGCACGCCCAAGTTGTGGGCCTAATCCCCAGTGGGGGCCATGCAGGAGGAGGCCAATCGATGTCCTCTCTCATCAATGTTTCTATCTCTTTCTCTCTAAAATCAATAAAGAAAAATATATATATGTATTTTTAAAAGGCAGCGCATGCCCTGGCTGGTTTGACTCAGCAGTAAAAAAAGGCAGCGTGGATTGTTGGTGGCTTGGAAAACAGAATGCTTGGCTCCTGCCTCAAACAGGAAATACAGCTCGGGTCAAAGCTACCTTCTACATAGGAACCTACACCTCGGAAAGAAAAAAAAAAAAAAAAGGATGATGAAAATGGCATGCTTACCTTGTTCCTGATTTTAGAGGAAAAGCTTTCAGTTTTTTGCTATTAAGTGTGATATTAGCTCAGGGTTTGTCACATAAGGGCAGTATTATGTTCAGGTACTTTCCTCTATACCAATTTTATTGAGTGTTTTAATCATAAATAGATATTATATCTTATCAAATGCTTTTTCTGCATCTATTGATAAGATCATATGATTTTTATCCATTTTTTTTGTTAATATGGTATATTAAATTGATCGATTTGCATATGTTGAACCATCCTTGGGCCCTTGGAATGAACCCCACTGGGTTATGATGTATTATTTTTTAATGTATTATTTATTGTATTCAACTTGCTAATATTTTGTTTAGGATTTTTGCATCTGTTTTCATCAGAGATAATTGATCTGTAGTTGTTTGTTTCTGTGTGTTAGTTATCCTTGCCAGGTTTTGGTGTGTGGGTCATGTTGGCCTCATAAAGTGTGTTAGGAAGTATTGCCTCTTCTTCAATTTTTTGGAATAGTTTAAGAAGAATAGTATCAAATCATCTTTTAATGTTTGGTAGAATTCACTAGTGAAGCCATCTGGCCCTAGACTTTTATTTTAGGGAAGGTTTTTGGTAGTGGTTTCATTTTCTCACTTTTTTGGTCTATTTATATTTTCCAATTCTTCATGAGTCAGTTTAGGAATGTTATATATTTCTAGGAAGTTATCCATATCTTCTAGGTTATTGAATTTGGTGGCATATAGTATTTTATAGTATTCTAGTATGATCCTTTGTATATTTTTGATACCTGTGAGAACCAGCTGTTTATTGTATTAATCTTTGGTATAGTCTTTTTAAAAAAAAAAAACACTTATTTTGAATTTATTACAGATGACCCACCCCATTTTTGCCCCCATCAATTACCTCCTCCCCACTCCTATCCCACTCCTGCCTTCCCCACACTATTCTCTGTGTCCATTGGTTATGCACATATGCATACAAGTTCTTTAGTTTATTTCTTCCCAGCGTCCCGCCTCCTTTCCCTTTGAGGTTCATCAGTCTAACAACCAATTTGTACTTTTTAATTCCTTCACCTTTTCCACCCATCCCCCAACCCCACTCTCATCTGGCAATCAACAAAAAGTTCTCTGTATCTATGAGTCTCTGGCTGCTCTGCTTGCTCATTTTGTTTGTAGATTCAATTGTTGACAGATATATATGAGTTGCCATTTTATTGTTTATATTTTTGTTCTTTTCCTTCAAGAAGACCCAATCAGCATTTCATATAATACTGGTTTAGTGGTGATGACTCCTTTAGCTTTTTCTTTTTTTTTTTTTGGTACATGGCCCTCACAGGAACCAAACCCGGAACTCTCTGGTCCACAGGCCAATGTTCCAACCGCTGAGCCAAACTGGCCAGGGCTCCTTTAGCTTTTTCTTATCTGGGAAACTTTATATGTCCATCCATTCTAAATGATAGTTTTGCAGGGTAGAGTAATCTTGGTTGTAGGTCATTGCTTTTCATCATTTTGAATATCTCTTGCCACTCCTTTCCGGCCTCCAAAGTTTCTTTTGAGAAATTGGCTGAAAGTCTTATGGGAGCTCCTTTGTAGGTTAACTAACTGCTTTTCTCTTGCTGCTTTTAAGATTCTCTCTTTGTATTTAACTTTTTGCATTTTCATGATTATGTGTCTTGGCGTGGCCCTCTTTGGGTTCATCTTGTTTGGGATTCTCTGTGCTTCCTGGACTTGTATATATGTTCCTTCATCAACTTAGGGATGTTTTCTGTTATTATTTTTTCAAATAGGTTTTCAGTTTCTTGTTCTCTCTTCTCTTTCTGGCACTCCTATGAAGCGAATATTGGTATGTTTGAAGTTGTCCCACAGGCTCTTTGCACTATCCTCATATTTTTGGATTATTTTTTCTGATTGGGTGTTTTTTGCTTCCTTAGATTCCAAATTGATGGTTTGCTTCTTGGCTTTACATACTCTACTATAGATTTCCTGTAAATTATTCTTTATTTTAGTTAGTGCATCCTTCATTTCTAACTGGTACTTTCTTATGTTCTTGAGGTCCTCACTAAGTTCCTTAAGCATCTTTATAACTAGTGCTTTGAACTTTGCATCTGTTAGATTGTTTATCTCTGCTTCGTTTAGTTCTTTTCCCAGAATTTTGTTCTGTTCTTTCATTTGGGACATGTTTCTTTGTCTCCTCATTTTGGCTGCCACCCTGTATTTGTTTCTATGTATTAGGTGGAGATGCTATGTCTCCTAGGCTTCATAGGGTGGCCTATTGTTGTAGGTGTCCTATAGGGTCCAGTGGCACAGCCTCCCTGATCACCTCAGCTGGGCCTTTGAGGTGCAACCCTAGTGTGGACTGTACACCCTTCTGTTGTAATTGAGTCTTGATTGCTGTTGGCATGTCAGTGAGAGGGATTTACTCAGGCTGATAAGTTTCAAGGACTGGCTGTGCCCACTGACACTGACCTCTGGCCTATGACTACTTTGGAGGATCAGCTGGCAGGGCTCACCACACAGAGCAAGGCTCAGTTCATCAGGGCTCTAGTACCCACTGAGTCTACTCCTTGAGTATGTTGCTTGTGCTGGTGCTTCAGCATGGTCTGAAATTGTCCACTGGTTCTGCTGGCTCTGGGGCAAGGTCAGCCACTGCTTGTGTCCTATCTGGGGCCACTAGGCATAAGCTACAAAGTGACCTACAGATGGCTGCTTCTTTTGTTGGGCTTGGAGGTACCCAGGCAAAGCCAAGTTATGAACCAAGGCTGGCTTCTAGTGCCAGGCCTGGGGCCAGTTAGCTAGCAGAGGGCTCACAGAGGCCAGATGCTGTGTGAGAGAACTTAGGAGAATCTGAAGCAGGAGCCAAGACAGGCCAATCCTTTGATAAAGCCATTGGAAACAGCTTGGGTGGGCCTGAAAGTTTTGAGAGACAGGGCCTCAGGGAATCACCAGGGTAGGGAAAACTATGTGGCAGGATGCTGGAGTCTCAGATATGGTGCCCATCTGCCTGCCCCATAGGGGAAGGGCTCACCAAAGGAACAATGTCCTCCTCTAGCAAATCTGTCTAGGACAAAGCTGCCTCCCCAGCTCTCACCCACATACCAAACAACTCAGTTCTTCCCCATATGTCTCTGGTGCCTTTCAAGCTACCTCTCCCATGCTGGAGCCTGGAGGGAGCGGGTCCAAGTAAATCCATGTGTGGGCCCTTTAAGAGGAACTGCCTGGGACTCTAGAAG